TGGAGCCTCAAACCAGCCTCCAGAGGAATGAATGGACCGTCTTTACTCACCTATGGAGACCAGCTTTATGTTCTCCTTGTCCAGGAACTCCAGAGCCACCGACACGTTTTCCAGCTTCATCTGCCTGAAGTTGGGCCTCGGGTGATACTTTCTGAACATCTTCTTGTGGCTGAGGACCTCCAGCAGGGCGATGAGCCTCAGGCCGTCGCCCAGGTCCAGCTGCAGGTCCACGATCCGCTTGTTGACGCACTTCAGGTGCTCGTTGATCCAGCGGGTGAAGGTGTTCTGCTGGATCTTCTTCCACGGAGCGTCCTCAGCCAGGTCCTTCTCTGTGGCCGGCATCTTTAACGGCTTCTCTTCTTGCTTCTCTGCAACGCTTCTTGTCCGGATTTTTGTTTAAATGGGGCCGAAAGTGGGGCTTTGTCTTCCCGCGGTGTCTCCTCGGAGCAGCCTGAAGGTGGTTTGAAGTTTTTCTGAACCGCACTGAGACTGGCTGGCTGCTGCTGCGTTCAGGTGCTGCCCAGAAAACTCGGACTGTTCAGCGTCTTCTTCCTGTCGAGGCTTGACAAAATGCTGAGGCGTCGCTGGCGTTGTACTACTGCCTCCCCCGGATGAAAACACCCTTTTTCTTATCCTATTTATTTATTATGTTTTGTTAGTGAAACAAAAAAAGTTAATAAATCCTCCACACGGAGACACAATTATTAAAAAAGGGGAAAAAAAGACAGAAAACTTAATCCTATAGGCTACATAAGAAAAACACAATTCAGTACCAAAAGTGCAGTGAATGAAAAATGCAGTAAAATCAAATGCTGAACAAATAATTTTAATTCTTGTATATCAGTATTACAATAAATGATAAATTGCAAATGCAGATTTTTAAAAATCAATGTCAGATTTAGAAAATTAATTAAACATATTGCTATACCCATATGTTCCTATACTTATTTTACTATATCTTTTTTTCTTGTATAGTATTTATTTTATAATTTACTTCTGTTTTGTTTATTTCCTGTATGTTTTATACAAATGTAATGCCTGTACAATTTAGTTTTTGAAATATTTGTTGGTTATTAAGAGAAAAAGAAGATAATGAGGAAAACAAAAGAAAGATAACGATCACAAAACAAAAAAATAGAGAGGAGAGAGAGAAAAGACAATCAAATAGACTGTATACAAATATTGTGTAAAATACACAAATTCTAAACTTCTACCATTAGCATACCCTTGAGTTCTGTTTTCTGATTAAAAAATAATCATTGTCTTTTTTTCTAATGAAAATGCAATTAATCATTTTTATATAGTACCACGTTTATGTTATTAATCATTCTATATAATCATTTCAATGTTTCTATATCGTATGAACTCACCACTCATCGGAATTACGGAAACAAATCTTATAATAGCCATATTTCCGGTTTCCATGAAGGCAGCATCAGTCTGGTATGAGACCGAACGGACTTTGTCAAAGATCGTCTATGAGCAAAAACAAAAACCATCTTCCCACCTTCTGGGCCCTGTTCCTCCAAGTTTAACTGTGTTTCATTGTTTGTGTTGTGTCTCCATTCAGCTGCGGGTTTTACTGATGCAGCTCTGGGTGTGTTTATGTGAAAAACCTGCGTTGAAAACTGTTTATTTTTAACCACCAGAAAAAAAGTTACAGTCAGGGTAGTGATAGTATATAATCACACAACAGAACAAGAAGCTGTAGAAACAGTATCCTGATGATTAAAAGTACAGCTTTAAATAGGACTTTTTTAAAAAATATAATCGAGACTAATGTAACAAACACGTTTACTCATCATTGTAGAGGAAGTGATTCTACTACTCCACAAAAGTGTCTCTACTGTTCTTTATTTGTCACTTTATTATAAACTCACTATTTTTGTCCAGATGAGGATCCGTGTCTGACTGATGACGCGCTGTTTTTCCAGTGATCTGATTGGTCAGCACCTGGGTCTGTTGACAGGTTTTGATCTCATCCTCTGCAACAGTGACCATGGTGAAGGGCCCAGGTTACCATGGTGATATACCCTGCCTGGGTTAAAAGAGAGGCAGCTACCAGAAAACATGGGTCAAGCTCAAAGATTCCTGCTCTAACATTACTGCACAACAACCGTTACCATGACATGTTTTTACCATGTTTACCATGATTTTTTGAGATGAGAGGCTTTTTACTTCAACATTACACAGACAAATCAAACACAAACATTATGGAAATCTGTTTCACAAAGAACCGCACTTTTCTTTGATCCAAACACAGAGGCAACGTCAACTGATGGCTGACTATTTAACCAGCTGCCATTGTTTTTGAGTGAAAGAACAGTGAAGCACCTTGTGAAACTGGTTTTAAATCTACTTTCCCGTACAGTAGAGAAGAAGAGAGCTGAGGAATAATGACAATAAAAATACTGGAGGTAAATAATCTATGTTTCTAGTATGAGACAATAAATCAAAATTAAGTCTGCAAGTCAAAAGTATAAGATACTCACAGGTATGAGACAAAATTATAAGAATCTACATTTAATTTATGACATCTTAAATAACAATTTGAAGACTTTAAAGGGTTAGGAGGTCAAAGTTATGCTTTGACAAATCACATTTTAAGTTGCTCTAGTGAATTTATCATCAAACAGTTGCTTATTTAGACGTCCAGCAGCCACCTGTTGACTGTGAGTCCAGTGTTCCCTCTCTGTTAGCTCTGTGTTTGGTCTCCTCCGGCTCCTGGGGGAAATATCTGGCTCTTTGGCTGCTAAATGCTTCACTATGTTCACCAGCTGCTCTCCAACTGTGTCGGTCTGATGTGAAGTGCTGAGCAGGTGGTGGACAGAGAGTTTTCTCTGAAAACGGCTTCCTGCTGCAACTGAAATCCACAAGAGTGAAACAGAAGAGTGAAGTTGCAGGTGAAACATCTAAAAAAAAAAAATTAGACTCACTAGATTAAATCCCATGAAGCCGAGGGGCAGCTGCAGATTCAGGTGATGAATCTCTGTAGGCTCATCACCTTTCAGTCACATTGTTTTCACACTGACGTTTTATACATTGTCATTAATAATGTCAATTATAGCCGCTTAATGTCATAATATTTAATCACCATGAATGCTTCTATTTTTCTCATGCCTAATATTTCTTCTTTTCTTTTCCTGTTTCCACTGACTCCAGGAAGGTGAAAGCGTCTTTATGGATTTCAACCATCTCCTCCAAAGGCCTGCTGGGTTCCGTAAAACAAAGGGAAACACAGCGTCGTGACTGTTATGACTGATGTGATTTTGATGTAAAACCTCAATGTGAAAATGTAAAACAAATGAGGATTAACCAGGAAGAACGACCTGAGCTCTGCTCTCTCCTGCTGTACAACACATCCTTGTTTCTATTCTATAAATACCTTTGTGATGTTCCCAACTCGTCAGTCTCAATTAATTATCTTTTTATTGCCGACAGATGTGGCTTCATGTTGCCTTTGGACGTTGACTCTCACATCTTTTTGTCTTAAAGAGCATCAGGAAACACTTCTGTTCTGTGTTCAGTGTTTCCACCTGTTCGTTCCCATCAGATAAATTCACTATTATTTCGTTTTTTAGTTTTTACACCTTTGTCACGTGAATCAGGGAAGAACATCTTTCTGAAAAGCTTCTTTTTTTTTTTTTTTCCTCTCGTTTCCTGACTGCATTTGTCAGAGATCTGTGAGCCAGACGTTAATTCCTTCTACATGTTACACCCATCTCATAAACATGACATCATCCTCCAGCTGGATGATTGACGCGTGTTTGTCGTGTGAAGACATTCAGCTAATATCAGTCTCACACACTCTCACACACACACACACACAT